CACCGAGCGTCTGGCTCATCCACCCGGCGCGACGAAGCCTAGGTGAAGCTTGCGAGGACAGGTCGTTCTGATTAGTGCACGCAGGTCCTTAGGTCGGTTGCTCCGCAGATTTAACGTGAAATGGGGTCACTTGGCCGTGTAGAGGCGCAGAGACTGGGGATCGGAAAAGGGGGAGAAAGCTCTATGTGGAGGAATGAGGAGGGTTCCAGATCTTTAAGGGATCTCAGTGGGTGCAGAGGTCAGGAATTGGGGAGTGAGCTCTTGACATGAGTTCACAGTGGCTCAACACACTACAGTGATTTGATAGGGACCTGCATGGCCTTGGGAACAAATCTACTGACAGGATCCCATGTGGCCAGCCACTGAAGCTAGCCTCAGCCTCTTGGGGGCATACAGAGCTTCAGGTCCTGGCTGAACTTCCTGGAGAGCCTGATTTTCCTTTTCCTCAATGTAGCTGGTGAGAAGGGTAAAGGCTTAGGGTGTGTATAGTACAATGGGTTGATTTCTTTTCCGCCAACTCCGTCATTCGTGATACCAGCACTTCAGTTGACCGCCTCCAGAAACCACAATACCGGCCAGCTTTCCTCTCCAAAGGTGAGCCTGGGAAAGGAGAAGCTCGCCCTGAGGCCCAGGTGTGCAAACAACCAATATTTGTTTTCAATGATGCTTCTGCCTCTACCTAGCACACATCTTACACTCCTCACACATTCTCTTTCGGAATGAAAGAAATGAAGCCAAAGCAACATGAACATTAGAAGACTATTGGGACTTCCCAGAGGAATTCTGGATGACTTGCTGGAGTGTCTAATTAGAACTGATGTACACTTTGAGGGTTACCACATGATATAAAGTAGCTCAATTCAGAAAATTACAACTAGAAATAAATTCTAAGTTAGGAAGTGTCCAGGTCTGAGGGGGAGTGTCCCACTCACCTGAACACTCAGCGTCTACTGACCAGTGTCAGTAAGAGGTCATGACTGTGACTTTTACCAATGGGAAAAATGCCTGGTTTTAGGAAAGATGTTTCAATGGCTCTAAGATGACAACACAGGAACTCAACACATATAGACAGACAACTTGAGAAGTCAGAAGTTTAAGGTGTGTAATGTTTAATCAATTCCTGAAAAAGACATGACCTTCCCGTCAGCTATTTGCCGTCTATAAGACCGAGTGGACACTGTCTGTGTTCCTTCAAGCACCATGGAAGTTTCCGGTTACTTTTGTTTTTTCTTCCTCCAAAATACCCATTGAAAATGCTGACTGCCAATCCAAATGCTGTGTAGTAGGCTGCTCAGATGTAGGCATCAGAAAATATACGGTTATACAATCCAGAAATGTTTATCTTTAAAATGTAAAAAGAAGTGTTTTGTAAGAAAAGGGAGACAAGATGAGACAGTAACTTGCTGAGATGTTGCTATTGATATTCTCTAAGTCTAATTTTCAGAGAGTCTTGACACATTTTCTCTTCACTTTACGTAACTTGATTTCTACCTAAAACATTTAAAACAATGAAACTGTCTGTCCCAAACCCTTGAACTCCTAAGCCAAAATACTTAAGCAACATTTTGGGGGCATAATTTTATTATAACTTTAATGTGCCGCAACCCCCCTCAGTTTTATTAACTGCTGCCTTGGCCAACACATAGTTTTCTAAAGGGTTTAAGCCATCTTTACTCCGGGAATGATTTCTCTCCCCTTAAGGTAGCAGCAAATGACATCCTGCTCATAGCTTCCCAGGTTCAGTTGAGAACATGCAATGTGTTCAACTCAAGCTTCATGCTGATTTAATCTTTTAATCCTTGTCACTTGGTTTTCAAAGCAGTTTGTTTCAGTAGAGAGGCCAGAGGGGGGGGGGAGAGGGGGGGGGGGGGGGGGGAGGGGAGGGGGGGGGAAGGAAGGGGGGGGAGGAGAAAGGGGGAGGGGAGAGAAGCTTTTCTAAGCTACTTATGTTGGTTGTTATGTGAAAATCATGAAATGCTCTTTTTAAAGACTAACAGCACTTATGGTCAACATTATACCAGGTACCCTTGAATTTAGCTATGATCCAGAAGTAGGAAAATGTATCTCCTTCTGAAAGCTGCCTTATATGTGTCAGTGAAGACAATGAAACCAAAAGTGTTCACTTCCAGAAAGCTCAGACAGAATGAAGCACTAGCAATAGGTCCGAGAGCCACTTCTCAATCCAGTTGGTCAGTTGAAACTATTTCTTTCTGTCCTTTATGTTTCTACTCTTTGCTTAAAACGATTCTTTAAAAAAACTTTATGCGAAAGCAAGTTTACTTAAAGCAATAATTTAGGCTTTTGGGTTTCCTTTTCGTCTGTATATTCTCACGTTTTCCGTGTAGTGTGTATTTTGTATTTTTTTTTTAAATTTCTGATCAAGGTTATTACCTTTACCTATTTTGAACCCCAATTGTGCAATTGACACCCATGTTAATGTGGATAAACTCTGCTTCTTTGTGAGTGTAGAATTTAAATTTCTAACCTTTGGCATTTTTAAAGCATCTCCTTGATCCAGTTAGGGCCCTGCACATCGTGTCTAACTAAACCTTAATAAAATTCCCACTGACTTCTCAAGGTGTAGTTTATGCACTGTGTGTCCAGTAATAAACAGAATGCTCTTTTTTTGTCTTAAGGATTCCGAAAAGTGGACATACTGGCTTCAGATGTTTTTGTTGGCAGATTTTGTTGGAGAATTCCCATTCCCATGAGTTGATCTTCATGGTGTGTTCTTTCTGTGAACAAAGTCCATCGTCAATGGAGAGGAAGACACACACTGAGGAGTCTGTCTCAGGTAGTGGTCACTGACCTCGCCTGCTTCCCTCGTGTTCTTGTCTTCATTTCTTCCCCTTGTTTTCTTGGGCTTTGAGGGTGGTGAGGAAGGGAGCCAGATTTCTATAAATGCAGTAATTACCAAATTGCAACTTATTCAAATGGGTAGGCTCTTAGGTTCAGTGACCTTGACACTGTCAACCTACAGATTCCAGTTCGTTAGGGTCAGACACCAAGGTCCAGTCCCTGAATGATTTGCACAAGCTCCCTTTGTGTGCCGTCATAAGGGCAGACAAAAGATGTTTTCCCAATGGGACTCTCTCTTTATGAGGCCTGACCCTCCAAGAAGCAAGCTAATCTCAGGTGATTGGGAGGTTTTAGAGCACTAAGGGGACTTGCCTAGCCGGGTGAAGTCATTTGTTCAATGGTACCTCAGAAGAGTTCATTTACCTTCAAAAGGTAAGCTCTTTTCATTCAAGTCTTCCCTCTACTTCCCCTAAGACAAGACTTGTTTGCAAAGTGAAGCATTCCATTTAGCTGGAAAGCAGGGGGCGGGGCTGTTCGTTTGCAGTGTTTCAAAAATCAGCAGTGCAGTAAATGGGCTTTATCAAACAGTTTCCTCTCCTAACTTCAGTCCACTGCCCCCCCCCCCTTTCAGGTTTCTTTGCTTACTATCATTAGGCCAACATGCTTCTCAGGATGCAAGAGCTGTAGGATTTAGCATCTAGCTGCCAAAAGGAAAGTTTTGCTAACATTGTTTATCTTGGCAAGTCAGTGTAAACTTTCAGGTGAGAGCTGGGTAGATAAACAACTACTCCACCAGCATCACTCTTCCTTTTTAGAGACCCCCCATTTTTTTTTTTTTTACACTACATAGCTCAATAGATGAGAAGGAGATTTTTACTGGTTGGTGCCACTTTGCATGGGAAGTGATCAGGTTTATCTTGATAATCTGCTTGTCATTTGGCTACCCTGCTTATTCTAGTAGAACTCCTCTACCCACTTCAGTCCTGGTCTCTGGGGGCCTACACTCATGTGTAGACTATTGTTTATTTGCTTGTCACTTACCAAATCTCCATAAATAGCTCATAACTTATTTTCACAAAACATGCCCCACCTTAAATACCCAAAACATGATTGAATGGTGCTTTTCAACATTCTAGAAGACTGAATGCTCCTGGAGTCTATCTAATAAGTGTGGGGGTCTTACTGGTAGACCTTTGAAAGTCTGCTCTCTCTAAACTTCGAGATTAATCACAAGAATCTGAAGGAAGAACCAAACCTTTACTAGGCTCTGTAGACAAGAAGGAGCAACTGCAAAAATAGAAAACTGTTAGTTAACTTTTGGAGTATCTGCAGTAGATTCTGCTTCCAGCAATGTCATCCTAAAATTGCTAGTGTCCAGGCTTAGTGACATGAAGAAAAGGAAATTGAAGAAAATGATGGAGGAAGACAATACCAAGCAGGATAAAATGGCTGCTGGTGCTGCTGGTGGGTGGGTGGGGGGTTTTCCCTGCAGGGTTTGGTCTAGGAGACAGGACTTGATAGGGTGGGTCAGTCAGGGTCTCCAAGAACTGATTCTTTCCTGAGAGGAGTTCACAATGAAAATGTGTTCTGGTTGGCTGTTTGAACCAATTCAAAACTGTAACAGACATGTAATATACTTATAAAAGAAAGTGATTGAGTATCTGTAGTATAAAGTTGGGAAAAGATAAGGCTTTCACAAATGAAAATGCTCTGTAGATTAATTTAGAGACTAATTAAAATCTTAAAGTATTTCACAGAGCATCAAAGATGCTCAGGTAGGCCAGCAAAATGGGGAAGAATAAGCTGGTCTTAGGTGACATAAATTGATAATTAAAGGTATCACTGTTATTGAAGTTGGATAGATGAATGGATCAGTAAAGAAGCAGATAGCTGAGAGGTAGAAGACGTTTTAGAACATCACTAGACAGACTAGAAGAAAAACATAGTACAGGAATTAAAATGTGTTACTTGATAAAAGTGTTCTAAGTTACACTAAACTTAAGTGTTAAACCAATTAAAGAGCAGATCATATTTTTATGTATGAAAATCACATTTGGGGGCATAGGTGAGTTGAATTGCCTGTTATCCATACATTCAGCATTGTTAGAGAGGTAAAGAGCTAGACATCATATGTAAACATTTAAAATGTGTAGTAAAATGTAATGAGAGTAATACACAAATAGAGGCAAAATCCAAAGTATGATAAAGTGGATAGATATTGACTGTGACATGAGTAAATTATGGCTAAAGTTAGGAAGGTTTTATAGTCAAAGGAACTGAAAAGATGCTCTCAGGCAGAGGAAGGAAAAGGGTTCCACAAGGCCAGGTGATGAATCTTTTCGGCTTTGTGGACTGAGGGCCTTAGTTGGAGATAACTGTTCACCTCTGTGGTTAAAGCAGAAAGGCAGTCACAGAACAGTGAATTGAGTGCACATGGCCACATCTCATTAGTTCATTCTGAAACATGATTTGAGCTTCATACACTTTTTCATTTTGTGAAATGGTCCTCTTGATTTTTAAAAACTCTTTCAAAACTTCTTAGTTCATCGGCTGCATAGTGGTAGTCCCCCAGCACCATAAACAAAGGACCAACCAACCAACCAAAGACAAATGACTTGTTCCTTGAAATAAAAGTCTCAAGGACTCTTCTGGGAAAAGAAATGCATGGTATATGCTTGGAAAACTCTGACATCTGCATGACCCACTTGAAAATCTATAGTTAAACATTCAGATTTTCAAGGCTTTGAGAAGTCCTACAGTGAGAACCCAGTATAAACTGTTTAGCCCAGGCACACCTGTCTTAGCGTTTCTATTGCTGTGAAGAGACATCAGGACCACAGTAACTCTTTTAAAAAAAAGACATTTAATTGGGGGTGGCTTACATTTTCAGCAGTTTAGTCCATTATCGTCATGGTGCAACATGGTAGCTGGCAGATGGACAAGGTGTTGTAGAAGTAGCTGAGTGTGCTACATCTTGGTTTGTAGACAACAGGAAGTGGTCTCTGTCTCACTGGGCATGACTTGAGCATATATGAGACCTCAAAGCCTGCCTCCATAGTGACACACTTCAACAAGGCCACACATCCTAATATTGCCACTCTCTTCAGGGGCTATTTTCTTTTAAACCACCCCCAACACCTTAACTCATTTGCCTCAAACCCCTTTTCCTCAAAATTTCAATTCTACAAGGTCAATGAAGTCTGGCTAATAGCTGTCTCTCTGAGAGGACCTGATGTCACTTTTCTCTTGTCCACTTGCACACTAGCTATATAGGCATTTGTTTTTTTCTGTACCTACCATATGTTTCTTTACCATCTTGGATAGTCATGTCTGCTGTGCCCTTTGGCTAAAAGGTTCCTTTAGAAGGTCTTCACAAAGATCTACTCCACCTTGTTAGTCAATTTTCAACTCAACTGTTTATTCCTAAAGAAGGTTTTCTCTGATGCTTTAGTCAAAAACAACTACTCCACTATCAGCACGCTCAACCCATGTTATTAGTAGTCTTGTTCATTGAATGCTAGGGACCAAGAGATGGCCCAGTTGGTAAGATGCTTACTGCATAAACATGAGTGTCAGTGCTTGATTCTGTGCATTCACATGGAAAAGTATATCATTGGAATCCCAGTGCTGTGGAGCCAGAGACAGGAGGATACCTGGGTCTTGCTGGTGAGCCAGTTAGAAAAATTGGTGATGTCCAGGTTTAGTGAAAGACCCTTTCTCAAAAAGTAAGGTGGAGAGCAATACTTGATGTAAACCTCTGTCCTGTGCACACACACTAATACACTCTGCCTACACACATGCACACTCACGAATGTTATAATATTTTCTTTCCATCTCTGCATATGAATATCAACGTATTTCATCTCTTCTTTGCAATGAGGTTGACAATGCTCTTACCTTTGCTACAACAGCTTGTCTTTCAAAGTGCTTGTCACAAAAAATGAATAAATATAATTTAATTCAGAGAGAGAGAGAGAGAGAGAGAGAGAGAGAGAGAAGAGAGGAGAGAAGAGAAAGAAGAGAAGAGAAGAGAAGAGAAGAGAAGAGAAGAGAAGAGAAGAGAAGAGAAAGAGAAAAAGGAGAAAGAGAGGATGAGAGAATATATTATAGACCACATTTTGGGAAATAACTATGTTATGCCAAAAAATGTACAAATGTTAAATTAATCTAAATCTCCTGGAAAAAACAACCCACATGCTATCACCAGTAGTTTAGTCGTCACCATGTGAATTAGCACTTTAGGTCTACAGTACAACTCAAGCAAAGGTTATGCTAAACACTCATGTAATTACACCCATCGGTTGTTGATGTTTCAGTAAATGGTTCCATTTATTTGTTTTCTGGAACATAGGCAACTTGAAATAAGAACTATAAAATTGCTCATGTGTTTTGACATCTGAAGAGTAAAACAAGTTTTTTCTCAAGAAATTGATATCTTAGCAAACGACTGAAAACGATTTCTCCATGCTATTAAAAATGGCCAGAGTGAAAAAACGGCATCAACACCTGGAATTGTGTTTATCAAGCCATGTTAAGTGAAAAGAGCAGAACACAAAGTACATGCCATCTGATTCTCTCTATAAAAACACACACTCACCCACTAAACAGCTAAACAAGAAATTAGGGCAAATTGAACCTCTTCTGCTGTAACCTTTGCCTGAGCAGTGTACAAAAATTGACTAAAGGAGAGGGAAGCTTGTCAGCACTGAGGGGAGAAAACCGGTTTTGGACATGCTTTAATTTGTCTGAGGTCAAAGAGAGGAGAGTGACTATCCTGAATTAAAGGTAGTAAAGCTAGCTTCATTTAGCCTCAAGATAAGTACGTGCTTGGGGTCCCAAAAACATGCCTACTTCTCAGCAAATTCCACTTTGTTGTATTCAAGATCTTTCTCAAGGCAGAAGTGCCTATACATTGCAAAGTATTTGTGTTAAATAAGATGCTTTAACATAAATTACATGGAAGACTTAGTTCCTAGACCTTGAATTTATTAGCTTTATTCTATTAGTTATAAAAGGTTAACGAACACTTAATTTTAAAAAGATTAACTGAATGGCAAGAGATTGGCTTCTTATTTACAGATGTTCTGTGGGCCTGCTGCAGTCAGGAACAAATGGTAAGATGCCCGTCTTAGTACCTGCAGACTGGGCTGTTTGATCTGCAGGGTGAGCATCCATTGGTGAGTACGTGAGCTTGGTGGAGGAGCCGTGGTAAAGGAGGACTGTTATGTAATTATAGCATCCATAGCGTCCGACGCACCTCCCAGCCCAGCCTAATAGTTTGTACTGTGAAGTGGGCGTCACAAGGATAGTGAGAATTAATTAATGTTTATGAAAACTTGTCCAGATCCATGGGAGGAAAGTACTTTATAGGCAAAGTGGTGCAGTGTTTGGGAAAAGATGTCCTCTTTCTCTTAAACTGAAGGTTTGAGCTGGTTGGATAGAATCTTGTCATTTCAAAGTTAACATTCAGTTAAAAATTTCTCTGAAAAATTTGGGTAGATTATGTACCTCATGAGTCAGAGTTATCTGGAGTGTTTTGCCCTCATAAAACTTAAAGACTTGATGTTGATGATTGACAGGCTTAATGTATGTCAGGCACTGTCATTCTCATCAATGACACATACAGTTGATTGCCCAGCACATACATGCTATCACACCACTTCTTTATAGTGCGTATAGTAAACGAATTATATTACATAAATATAATAGTTTATAGTTGAGGAGTAACTTATATCTGAACACAAAACAATGCAAGTAGGTAAAAATTCACATTTGAATTATTCAAATTTTGTCTTGTCTGACAAGATTAAAACATTTTGGGCCATTGAAATGGCTCAGCAGGTAAAGGCACTGGTGACCTGAGTTTCATCTTTGGGACCCACGTAAATGTGGAAGGAGGTCAACTCTGAAAAGTTGTCCTGTGACCTTCATACTTCTGTTGAGGCATAGGGCATAGGTGCTCCCACACCTCCCACACAAACATATAATAGAAATGAAATGTTTTATATTTTAAGTACTAACACTGTACTGACACATGATTTTGATAGGAAAAAGATCTCTGTGCCCCGTCTTCTATAAGAAGATTTGGACTCTAAAGGCAGAAAACACACAATATTAAAGCTCCCCTATGTGATGTTACAAACAGAAACCTTTTTACTTAAACTTTTCAACATAACATAGCCTGAAAGGTGTCATGATGGTTACTCACCCTGTGTTCTAAGTGGTCCAGAGCACGGGCAGCATGATTCTCTGCCCTTTGTCGCTCTAATCTCTTAACAAACGTTCGTTATTAGGCAGACACAGAAACATCATCCTACTTAATTTAGAATCATTTTTTATTTATTGGAGATGCCCTTTTTTTTGTAATTAAAAGAGATGCTCAGAGTATCCTGAATATAATGTTGTCATTTTCTTGTAAAAGATGCTTACATTGGCAGTTTTTCATTCACAAGTGTTTCATTAGGCTAAACACTTATTAGTGGGCCTGCAAAACAAGGGGTCTTGCTCTAAGGCTGAAGATCAGCAGTATCAAACACATTTGTGCTGATCTTCAATTCCTCTGACATTTTGTTTGAATTTCTTGACAGCTCTCCTCATGTCTTTTTCAACTATGCCAATTATTTCCCTTTTAAAATTGCACTTTCAGTGTAAATACTGTGGCTTGTCTGTTAAGCTAGAGAAATAGAAAATCATTAGAGGGTCTTGTGTCATCTACTTACAACGTAATTGAACAGAGGCAAAGAGCTCTTGAAAATTCGTTTGAGTGTGCTACTCTTTAATTAAGTGCATGTGTGTTGCTGGGGGTTACACCTAGGGATTTATGAATTCTAGGCTAGTTCTTTTCCACCGCACTACTCTCCCAGCCCTATGGTATTACCTTACATTAATTAGAACATCAATCTATAGTATTTATATGTTTTAAAATTAAGGATTACTTCTAAATACTATCATTGGGATGCCTCAAAATGGGACACTAGGCCAAATTAAGAAGGAGGGAGATTCATGAAAACCATGATTCTTCTAGGTGTGAAACTGGAATATTCCTAGGAGAGAGAAGATCAAACCAAGAGAAAATCTAGATGTGCCCTTTAATATGATAGAGTCAAGTCATAACAAATAACTAAGTTGCTTGTTTTAACCTTAGATTTTATATATTTATTATTATTTTTTTACATTTGGTCAGGGTGATGTAGAAACCAGAAAAGATAATAAATTGATAGGAGAGGGCAGAAAAGCAAACTGACATAAGAATTTGTGTATAATCGATGTGGCAGATCCCTATTAGCAGGCACTAATGAGAAGCCTAGGATAGAAGTATTAGTGTTGAAGTGATGATACCCCAAATGTGAAGCACACCTTCTGAGAAATTAAGAGTTGACTGACAAGATATTTAAACTTTAAGTAGGAAAGTTCTCTAAGCTCTTTAAAGGGGTAACGAGCCTAACAGTTTAACTTTAGCATGCAGAAATCTTCAAGTGTATCATACATTGAATGTCTTCAATCTGAGGTTCTGTAGAGCAAGTGAAACTCGAGCTTGTCTTTAAAGGTCTCCCATTAGGTCCTGCGTGGGCTGCATGCTTTTCTGCCCTCTGTTCATACGTTTTGAGTCCTAACCCTTGATGGACATTGTTAATGAGGGTTAGTTGGAATTAGTGTGGGGTTTCCACAATGAGAATGAGGTTAGTAACTTTTTATAAAGAAGAGATTAGAAGCTCCTCCTTCTACCCCCTCCCCTGCCCCTTTCTCTTTCTCTCCCTCCCTTCTTCCCTCCTCTTGGTCTCATAAGGCCCTAATAAAAATGCTTGTCATAAAACCCAGAAGATGGTCTTCTCTAGATTGCAGATCTGTTGGGGTCTTGGTCTTTAATTTTCTAGCTTCCAGCACTATAAACAACGCATTGCTCTCCCACAAGTGTATGGCAGTTTGTCATGGCAGTTCAGGCTCACCAGGACTGGCCTCAGGAGCTTTTGACCTGCTAGATCTGTGTGGATGCAAGAGCATCTCCACCATTGTTTCTTCCAGGTGGGTTTGTTTGCCAGGTTCCTCCTGAGATCCAAATAATACTGAATTATTAGGGCACTAGTCAGAGACTGCCACAGAGAAAGGAACAGATTTTGTAAATTGACACCTTGACCCTTGTCCCTGAGCGGACAATGCTAAAACCAACTTAACTAACTGGTCACAGACCTAAGCAGATGAGCTTGGTTGACTGAGAGGAAGCAATAAATTATGTTTGTATTGACCTTAGTAAACCTTTTAATTCTTTCCTACATGATATAGTTCTCAACAAATTGGGAAAATATGGCATAGCGTCTAGGTAATTGCGCAACGAAAGATCAATGGCTGAGGCCTGCGGCATGTGTTTCATGCCTTGGTGTACTTGAACAATTTCTTCACCTGTAGGTAATGAGGGAGACCTTCAAATCTAGAGAGGATGCTGGCTTTTTCTTCTCTACTGTGGTGAGACACTCACAGCTATTCCCAATGTGACCTGAGGAGACCTGAAGTCCAATGTGATGTTCTTCTAGAAGCTGGTCTCTCTGCATAGAAAAATTGGACATATTCTTCCCCTCTGGGCCATTCATGTGGCTCATCTTTGCTGTCAGCTCAAGGCGACTCTTCTAACTGGTTTTGCCTTTTGTCCCCACCTGTCTAACTGATGAGTGTCTTGGTCAGCCTCTTAGTTGTGAAGGGGAATAGTCTGAAATGTATTGGCTGCCAAGTCAGAACACCTAAACAATTGCAGAAAACTCATTCACGTATTCACTCAACAAATTGTTGAGTGGCTCCCTGCATGTGCTGGCACTGCGCTAGGCAGTGAGCATACCGACTAAAGTTCAACCTTTACTCCAGAGGTGCTTGGGCTGTCTGAGGGCGTTGACATGCATGAGTATAATGGCTATATTAGCTCCAGAGGTCTCTGTCTTTGCTCACAGATAGCCTCCTTATTGTGTTCTCACGCGATTTGTACTCCATGGGTGAGAATCCCCTATGTCTCTGTGTGTTCAAATTTCCTTTTCTTAATACATTATTGCCTACCCTAAAGGCTTTGTCTCTGCCTCCTCCTTGTGCCCCCCTCCTCCTCCTGCCCCTCCTCCTCTTCCTCCTCCTGCTCCTCCTGTTCCTCCCCTGCCCCTCCTCCTCTTGGTCTTCCTCCTGCTCCTCTCCCTGCTTGTCCTGCTCTTCCTCTTCCTGCTGCTTTTAATCATCCTCTTCCTTCCTCCTCCTTCCCTTCCTCCTTTTTGTGTAACTGAGATATTTACCAAGAATCCCATTTAATACCTGATTTCATGAACTGCTGGCTTACTTACATACGTTAACTTTGTGTATAGGATAATTCTTGCATTTAGTATATAGTATGTTTTAAATTTCCCCTCAAAAAATACTTAACATTCCAATAATGGTCAATATTCCAATAAGTTAAGAATATGTCAAAAATTCATCAAAGACAAGTGTTATAGGCTAAATTATAGCTCCCCAAATTCATATGTGTGACTGCTAACTTCTAATATCGCAAATATGATTGTATTTAGATGAAGTATCTTTAAATAAATAAATTAAAAAAGTCTTTTGACTGTGTCTACAAGTCATTGCTAGCCTAGTGTATATGGGGACCTAAGTTCAATCTCCAGAACTCTACCAAATCAATTAATTAAGATAGAATAATATCCTATGGTTGACAAACACAAATGGCTGACATTTTGATAGCACAGGAAATTTGAACACAGATGTATACAGAGGGGAGGCCAGGTAAGGATGGAGGTGAAGGCAACACACAGGCAAGGAGAGACGGCTCAGAAAAAAAGCTGTCCTGTTGACACATTGATCTTAGACTCTGGGCTGTTAGGATTGTGAGAAAGTAAAGTTCTGTTGTTAACCATGTCATTATGGAAGCCTAGCAAGCTATATAGTAAACAAACATACCTCACATCTAGGTGTGATAGCGCACGCCTTTGATCCCAGCACCTGGAAGGCAGAGGCAGATGGATCTCTGTGAATTTAAGGTCAGCCCGATGTGCAGAGACAGACTTAGGCCAGCCAGGGATACATAGTCTCCAACCAAACAAAAACCGAACAACCTCCCAACAAAACCATATACTAATCTCATCGACAATTCCCATTGGAATTCTTGCCCCGATTTAGTAATATTTTAAAGTTACTTAAGTATATTTTATATGAACAACCTTGAAAATTTTTATTAAGCTTCTCAAATTAGCAATATGATGTGTGTGTGCACGCACGTACAAGTGTGTACATGTGCATGTGTTTATTTGTGTTAGTATGTGTGTATATGTATGTAGCAAGTTACACCTGTAAATGATAATCAAGGGTAGAAACCTAAAATTAACCCTAAAGAAATGGCCTAAGGCCACCCATAGAGTGCACTGGATTGAGCAAGACAAGGTCTATAGGCAGCCAAGCTGTGCTGCAGCGTTAATTAGATGGAAGTATTTGGAACAGAAACAGCCTCATCGTGGTCGTTCTCACAAAACTGAAGAACTGCTGCTTCATTCCATGTATTTTTGTAAACGTATATGACTCACAAGAGAAAGAAAATCTCACAATGCAGGGAATTTAAAAACTGAGAAGAAAGAAAACTGCTCGTAAGCTGACAGACCTTTGAAGACTCGGAGTGACTAACAAAGTTCCTGCAGTACTTTTTATTTAACAGTATCAGAAAGTTTTAGACAAAGATTTTTGGTTTTGGATGGAAAAGGCTTACTTGTTGAGAACTGAAGGTTGACTAAAGGTATGGTTAGCTACTTGATAGTTATAAAGTCTGAAATCCTTTGTGGAGGGGAAGTTACTTTTCGTTAACTGGGTTGGATCTTATGTATTTATAGGAAATGTTTCCATTTAAGACCATTGATACATTAATAGTTTCCAGGCACATTTTATGGCAGGGCCTAAGTTTGTTCTCTTTTGAACATCTAGGAAAGGATGTTTTTAAAGTAAGCACTTAGATTTGCCTGGATTTCATTTATAAAGCAAGGGTCTTAACTCTAAATGCTTCTGAAATCAGGCTATGCCCGGGAGTAGTGAATTCCCCAGAGATGACCATCATGTCTTCCACTCATTTTCTTCTTAAATCCCTGTACTTTGCCCGTGTTTGTCTTTTTGAAAAGCAGGAACTGGTCCAGCTCCTGGCTGCCCCTCCACATCCTCAGATTTGTGATTTTCCTCCTGTATTTCCTTGGAGATGTTGTTCGTCGTAATCCTTAGGGCAATCCTGCTGTACAGCTCCATGCTAACTTCAAAGCTGAGGCTGGATCGCCATCGTTAGCGAGTGTGGTGAGACATCCAGAAACTAAATCCCATTAGATGGAGAAAGGAAATCTGTTCGTAGGAGCCGGTGAACATACTGGCTCTGGCTCATAGGTAGAAATCCACTTGAGTCTTTTGTCCTACAGTGTGTCGCTAAAGCCCCCTAGTGGCCAGGTGACCCCAGCCAGGTGTGGAGTGCCCCCTCCTTTGCAAGAGGATCCTACCTAAAGTCCTCTCCCTCTCTTCAGGCCTTTCTGAATTATGGAAGAAAAACTCTTGGGTCTCCAAGCTAATCTGATTCCCTAGTTTCAGGAAGTCTCCAGGAGCTCTGTTTTTCAGCTCCCCATACTTCCAGAGGAGGGAAAGGCCAGCCAGAGCTTTCCTTGGCTGTGGACAAGTTGGGTCTCTGAAGCCACTAATTCTACAGAGTGATGCTGGGAACTGTCCTGCAAGTTGCCAAGCTGTGAACTGAGTCCTGAAGGATCTCCCTAGTTTGGGTGTCTTATCCTGTCTGTGTGGCTTCAGGAGAGGACAGATCTCCTTCTCTAGGTACTGCGAGGAAGCGCCAAACATCCGGGGAACAGCTATACCCACACGTCTAGAGTACCTCTGCTAAGACATAGGCTCCACAGTGCAGACCCGTGAGATAGTCCACTTGTCCCGAGAATCCACAATGTCCCTAGGGCCCCCACGGATCACAGCCATTTAATAATCATGTGACAAAAATGTACTCAATGACGAGCAGGTGTCTGGCACACTGTAAGGGCATGCTTTGAATATGGGGGCTTAATGAATGTAATCAAATCTTGGTGATGTCTGCATGTTTTGAAGGGAGTTATTTAGGAGCTGTGAAACACACACTTTTAAATAAGTGTTTAAATTCATATGCTATTTGCTGTGAGTGAGGTGTGTGTGTGGGTGGCAATGTGGGGAGCATTTCAGGTGGTACAATTAACTCCTAGGGGAGTCCTAGATCCAATTCCCTCCTGCTTTCTAGGACAAAACTGTGGTCAACTGGAGACTACAAGCCCTCTTAACCCTGTTCTCTTTAGCTGTTTCACTTTTCTCTATTCCCCAACCTGTCTTGTCTCTGCATTTGGACTATAACCCTATGGAATCCGTGTGTGTGTGTGTGTGTGTGTGTGTGTGTGTGTGTGTGTGTTGCCATGCATGTATGGCAGTCAGAGGACAACCTGCACTTCCCTCCTACCACCATGTGTGCTCTGAGGATTGAACTCAGGTCATCAGGTTTAGCGGCAATCACTGTTATCCATTGAGATGAGTCTCTCTTTTTTCAAGATTTTTTTTTATGTGAATGAATGTTTCTCTTGCATGTGTCTTTGCATAGCACATATGTGCCTGGTATCCTGATCTTATGGAGCTGCAGCTACGGTCACTTGTGAGCTGCCAGGTGAGTGCTGGAACCAAAGCTGGCCCTCTGTAGGAACAACAAGTGCTCTAAACCACGGGCTATCTCTCCTGCCCTCCAATGCGATTCTTAATAACATTACTTGTCAAGTTTCTACCTCTCGTCCACTGCCTCTTTATTATCTATGACTTCTTCTATATGTGATAATTTCCAAGTAGAAATGACTATCCTTGAGCTTGCTTTGGAATCCAGATCACTTTCTCCAAATGAACTCAGAGGCTGCTCCTGAACCCAGCCGGTCTTAAAAAGAAGTCATTCCCCACATCCTCTTCTCTTCCATCTTGCTTCTTTTCTTTGTACACGTAGACAAAGGACTGTCCCCTTACCTCCTCCTCCTTCATCCATGCTCCCAGAGGAGCACCAAAGCTCAACTACTGACAAGTTGTCATGTTTTATTATTTATTTCCTATAAAAAATCCATGTTAAATGATTAAATCTGACAGTTACGAACTCACCTCCCCCCTCCCCCAGTAGCCAAGTATTGACTCTTTCCTCCTGACCTTTCTACATCTTCTCTGTCCTTTCACTGTCTTCAGGGTGATTTTAAAACATATCTAAGTACATCATACCTTCACATCTAACCCTTTGATAGGCTCTCAGTACACTTGGAATACATGTTCCAAGTGCCTGGAATACCTGGTTCCTTTTCCTTTGGAGTTTTAATTTTCTCTCTTTTACTTCTTTCTGTGGTCATATCTCATTGGACTTCTTCAGGTTCCTTTGCATTCAAAATCTTTTTCCATGTAATTTTCTTGGCCCAGTATACTTTACCATTTAAAACTTTCCTGTATCTTTCTTTCTCCTTTCTGTCTTTTCTAGTGCTGCACATCCTAGGCAAGTGCTCAACAACTGGCCAACACCTTCAGCCTTTCGCCCACACTTTCTTTGGGTAGCACCTTCTATCTCACCCTGAATATTACCTCCTCTGGGAAGTTTTGCCTGGTGTCCCCTATTAGGCTCAGGGCTCTGATGATGTCGCCTGAAACTGTAATACTCATTGCCACCCTTGCTCATTATATAAATTTTCCTGCAACTATTTTCCCAATAAATAATCCACTGGACTCCCTGTGAGAAAAAAGGTCCATGTTCATTTCATGTCTCCAGTACCTTCAGCTTTTCACATAGTGCCTTAACCTTGGTAAGTTCACCATGAATTATGCACTGAATGCACGAATAAGAGGGGATTTCTTACTGAGGTAGCTCAGTTACAGAGTGTTTGCCATGCAGCAATGAGGACTTCAGTTCAGCCCCTCAGCACCCACATAAAAAGCCAGGCACGTTGGGAAGTGTTGTAATCCCAGTGCTGGGGAGGTAGAGACAAATGGATCTCTCTGGTTTGCTGACCAGCCAGTCTAGCTTAATTGCTAAGAACCAGGTCTCTGTGAAAGACTCTGTTTCAACAAAACCAAACAAATAACAAAAACAAGGAGATCTCTCTTGAGGCATGGCCCCAAGTTCTGCATGCATACCCATGCTGTACTCCCAGTAGCATGACATGAGTATAAAACCAAATACCAGAATATACTTTTGAATCATCATAGCTAGAAGATGAACAATGCCCAGTGGATAGTGGAAAAGAAGAGAATATTAGTGGATTTGTTTTTCCTGGAAAGTTTCACACAGAGACAATTGTAGTTTTGGGATATGAAGGGCTCCCATACCCCCACAAGGCTCATGTACTAGACCCCCACAAGACTACTGATGCCCCCCCCAGGCTCATGTGCTGAAGACCTCCCTACACACAAGGTTTGACTCAGTGCTGTTGATTTGATTGTGAGAGCGCTAGCCTCATCAATGACTGATTCCATCAATGGATTCCCAACTTGAGAGGCATCGTTGGGATATTCTGAAAGCTAGGAAGTGGGCCTAGTTGATGAAAACAGGCCATATGGTCTGTGGCACCCAGACCTTGGAAGGTGGTATCTTATCTGAGCCTCTTTGTTCCAGCACATTCTGCATTGCTCCACTGCACCAGGCACAGACTCAGGGAGCTGAGTGGCTGCAGACTGAGACCTCATGTAGTCCATGAACCAAGGTGAATTTTTCCTCCATTTAACTTTTCTTAAGTACATTTGGTCACAGCAACAAAAAGTAACTAGTCCTTCATAGGTGATTTCCTAGATGGGAAATGATATCATAGGCTGTGGGGAGAACAGGAACAAGAGCTTACGGGTAGGAGAAGATGGGGTCCATTTGAAGACTAACTAGTAAAATTTTATCTCTAGAGAAAGTAGATTGCAGAAAGGAGAAAGCTAGAAAAGAGGTAGACAGGGAGGCATACAATAGAGACCTTTAGGGTTGTGACATGAGTGGTATCATGAGAGAATTCATCTGGATGTGGTATGTAGGGAAAGCTTTGGCATCCCAAAACCAGCTAGAAAGGGTACATAAATTTCACCGGAGATTAAAAAAGACAGAACTCTGGTCATAGCAGTGAGAAAAGGGAGCAGGCTATGTTATGATAAATCTTTCTGCCAAAAGCCACTCGAGCCCTATCGCCATGTGGGTGCTTTCTGCCAGCTGCCCGAGTTCTGCCGGCCGAGTTAGGGTCCCAAATAATACACAGAGACTTATATTAGGTACAATGCTGCTTGACCAATGACTAGGATTTCTCATCTGTTAGCTCAGTCTTAATTATCATCAATCTATATATTTTATAGGACTTATCTTATTTAGGATGCCTTCCACTGGCATCCTCATCCCGGGATCACATGGTGACTCTGGAGGAAGAGAGAAGGGCCCCACTTCCTTCTGGCCCTTGTTTATATAGGAGTCTCCCTGCCATGTCACTTCCTGCAGATCACCACTTCTTTACTACATTTCCCAGAATCCTCCTTGACTCCTAGTCCCACCTAACTTGCTGCCTCATTGGCCAAACAGTACTTTATTTATTATCCAATAAGACAAACACATACACAGAAGCACTTCCCCCACCAAGGCTAGACCTGAGGCTAAGATGACTGAGGCGTCAATTGCTGGGAGTTTGGTGACTCATTCCATGCAATGGCTACAGAATCAAGCCAGATGACCCTCACATCCAGATACCACATGAAAGGCAGGGGTACAGTGCCATAGCAATCAGTCTCAGAGTGGGTAGAGTTCTAGGGCTGATCAGACTATACTGTATCCTTTCTGCAAAGCCTATAGGAGTTCATTCGCTGGGCAAAATCTATTCCTATAAGTGGGGACCACTAGGATGTTTTCTTGGCTAATTTTTAAATGGAAAAATTTAAATATGGGTTTTCTTTTTTTTTTTTCATTAATTTTTTTCCTTTTCTTCTTTTCCCAGATGGCTGTTACGGTTCAGTCCACTTCACAGGTATGCCCTAGGATTGCAAATGACTATTTCACATTTGCTGTGTAAACTAGTGACTCAGTATGTTGCTTTAGAACTAGATACGTGTGGTTTTGCTTCACTTGAGGAATTCAGTAAAGAACATACTTCATGTCAGCAGAGAGCCTCGTAAATCCATGTGAAGGACACGACCAGACTCCCCTGCTAATCGTGCAGCTGCATGGACCTGGTTTCCTTTCCTAATGGGGGCTTCTCAAGTCTTCCCCATGGTCCTAGAAAGACGAGAAGCAACACTGGTGTCTTTTTCTCAAATCTACTCTTCAAGGTTAAAAAATAACTGAAGGAGAAAGTAAAATTGTACAGAGAGTGTTTTTGTTTTTGCTCTGTATGTAAGAACTATGCATGTGCTCCCCTCCATATGGGTCCTACAGGGATGCCTGCCAGAAAAAACAAACAAGGCGACATGGCCCTAGACAACTTCTCTTACATAATGGAGAGCTTCTGTACTAGCCCTTGTGTCTGTAAACTGTGTGTCTGGGGATAGACAGCTAACCAGAAGCACACAGCACGGAGAGGAGAGGTAGGAAATAGAGATCATTAGTTTTCCATTACAAAAGAGCATTTGAATTGTCAGTGCTTCAAAGAACACTCCTGGTTGTGTTTGGCAATAAGACTGTGGGATGATGTGAACGGAGACAAGCACTGCAAGGATGGCAGGGTTTCTGCAGAGCTGACCATGCTGGGTACCGAGGCCCTGGCTGAGGCTCTATTTGATTATGTGGCCAAGTTGGTGAGCCCTCACGGCCTTGGTGGCATGGGAAAACCACCCTGTGTAGTGTTCTTTTATCCGAGTGGTAGACTGGATGTCTCTCTAGACTTCTTGATATTCTCTTGTCCTTCCATTACCTTTTTCATGAACTTGGAAAATTTCTGGACATGCATGAGTCCAGACACCCATTTAGAGTTTTTAGACTTTTTATACTTCTGAAACAAAGCCCTTCATATCATTTATTATTTCATGGATGTCTGAAGCCCATTTTTGCTACATTTCTGGTTTGAGTGACATCGTTCTTCCTGTATGTGTGTGTATACCCTCTCCCCCCACACACAAGTACACACATGCATGCACACATATGCAAACACACACACATACACACCACTTACACTTGTTTATTTTGTTGATGTCAGGGGATTTTTGAGACTTGAGACTATTCAGCACACCTTGTGATCTGTGCAGGGGCCACATGTGCCAGGGTGGAGCTGAGGTTGTCACCTTTTGTTCACAGCAGGCAGTCTTCCCCTGGATGGGTATATTAACAAACACTACCCCTTTAATTTGTAGTTGACACTGTCTTGGAAGGAAAAGCTGAAATTTCAGCATACATTTGGGTTCAGAATTAGAAGCTGAGGAATTAACAGTGGCCAAAGTTTATCCCATGGCAAATCCATTCTCAGAGTCATAGTGCTGTCTCTTCATCTCCTGCTTTAACTCAAAGCTGGCTGCTCCCCAAGACTCCAGCTGGGGCTCCCCAGTGCAGGCTGCTGTCCAGGTTCCTGTTCTTTCTGCTTTTTCTTACACACTTACCGAAAGTCACCCCATCGTGCTGTCTTCTGCTAACCATTCTGCCTGCTCTTCTCACTTTCCACATTCCTTAGTGGCTTTGGCATGTACCTTCTCCACTGTCTGTTTCTCTTGTTCCTGTCATGATTGAAAAGATGTTCATTCTACCTAAGTTTGAGATTGACTTCTGGGCTCTGGATCCTATGCCCCCGGTCTCCTTTCAGCCCAAAGATTTGTTTCTTTAATTTGTTTTCTTTTCTTTTTCAGGGGTAGGGTGGTGGTGGGTGGCTGTTCAAGACAGGATTTCTCCATGTTGCCCTGAAACTCACTCTGTAGACCAGGGAGGCATTAAATTCATAGATCTGCCTGCCTCTGCCTCCTGAGGGCTGGGATTAAAGGCGTGTTGGTTGGAGTTTGAAAAACTTATATCTGTTTTTACTGCTCTGTCTTAATTCTAGACAATGCTCTCATTCCCGATCTCTCCACCTTTCACTCAGTTCCTTGCACAAAGCATGGCTGTGAGAAGATTATTCAGATTGTAAACCTAGCATTTGTTTAAATTCCTTTCGCTTCCACCCTGGGCTCCTGGTAGTTGTTAGAAGAAGGTTCAAGCTCCCCCACAAAACACTGATTGTTGTTTGCGGTCTGGCCTTCGTTTAGCTTTGGAGGAAGATAAAAGCCAGTGTTTGATGAGGTCACCAGGATGCAGATTCAAGAATCACTAATAGTAATTAATTAGCCAATCAATCAGTCAGTTGATTGTTATCTCTCTCTCTCTCTCTCTCTCTCTCTCTCTCTCTCTCTCTCTGTACTCAAGTGCTATGATGTGGGCGTGAAGGTAGGAGGGCAATTTTTGGGAGTTGGTTCTTTCCTCCCACCATGAGGTCTAGGAATTGAACTCAGGTCATCAGGCTTGCTGGGTGCTTTCATTCACTGAGCCATCTACCTAGCCCTTGAGTATTAAATTTTTAGAAGGCATGTTTTTGCATACAATTAGCTTAACTAGAAGGCACTTTGAAGCTTATAGAAGCTTGTCTTCATAGGCTAAAGCATGTTTCTAAAAATCATGCTTCCTCCCCCTTTTTAGATGCCTTTGGATGCATGTTTGGACAATTTCTTTTTATGTATGCTATGTTGATTCTCATGGGAGACTGATGGGGGAATTTAGAAAGCACAACATTTGTTCAGTCTTTGCTTGTTTCCTACGGAGTAAGATGGTGACAAAACAGATCTATCACCTCTGTGAGTGTTTGTGGGTCATAATTGGCAGAAATAACAGCATTGTTTATTAGGAAATTAATATGCCTTGGAAATGATGACCTCTTTTCCTGAATAAACTATGGTGATTTATGGGTCCCTTGCAACTGTTTTTAATCCCTGATGTTAGCTTTATGTAATTTAAGAAGGAATAATTAGAGACACGTTGGTGACATTCTCTGCTCAATGGATGTAATGTGATACAAGATGCCAAAAGAAAACCATGGCACCGAGACGAACATCAGCAGCTGTTTAGTATTTCCAGGTAACACTTGGCTTTTGTGACCCTTCCCAAACCCCAGCTGATTATAACTGTCTTCAGGGGAAGGCAGGGTGACCTGTTTTGCAAGTGCAAAGACACTGAAGTAGGTCAATCTCATGTTTGAATGAGAAATGTCCCTCCCACAGGCTCCTATATCTGAACACTTGGTTCCCAGATGCTGCTGTTCAGAGAGGTTGTGGAAACTTGAAGAGGCAGGGCCTAGCTAGAGGGAGTGGATCACTGTGGAGTGGGCTCTACATAGCTTTGCATTCTTGATCCCTGTTCTGGCAGATTGTTGTTCTATCTTCTTGTTCTAGCAAGATTGTGAGGAGTCCTAGGCAATGGTACCACAAACTCCTCTGGGCCTTCCTACTGTGATGGACTACATCCTGTCAAACCATGAGCTAAAGTGAGTCCTGCTCCTCTCATATTGCTTCTTGTCAGGTATTTTGATGACAGTGACAGGAACAGCAACCAGCAGTTATTAAACTGCTTGCCCAAGGCTGTAGAGGAGGGTCTGTTATGTGCCTGACCCAGCCTGTTATATGCTGTTTGAGTTTGCTTTCCTCCTCTCAATGGCTGAGATAATGTTATTGTCAAGACAACAGAATATTATATTCATTTTTCTCTGGCTAGGAGGTTGAGTCAAACACGCTCTGTGATTCATGTGGAACTTCATGCTACCATCTACATTCAGTTAATACAACCTATTCTTGCCGGATGGTGGTGCCACACACCTTTAATCTCAGCACTCAGAAGGCAGAGATAGGTGGATTTCTGAGTTCTAGACCAGCCTGGTCTACAAAGCAACTTCCAGAACAGCCAAGGCTACACAGAGAAACCCTGTCTTAAAACAAACAAACAAACAAACAAACAGCAACAACAAAAAAACAAAACCAAACAAAACAGAGAGAGAATAAAAAAGCCTTATTCTTTCTGGAGACTCAGAGGGCTAAAAAAAATCAGTAAAAACATGACACACCAGGGAATCCTGTGCTTTGACACATGGATGAGTGACAACTGATGGCCTGCACAGCTTCCGGTGATGAAATTGAAGCATTTGGTGTTAACTGGTAACTGGGAGGGCACTCCCTACCTAGTGTGGGGTGATGACTTGGGAACTTCTAGAGAGCAGGGAGGAGGTGTAATTCCTTTGTTCCTGCAAATTGAGGA